ATCTTGCTGGCCCTTGAAATACACATTTCTAGTGGCCAGAACACTTGTCCTCCTGCATTCTCTCCATGACATTAAGTGACACAATCTCTGTCTTCCAGTCTGCAGCACTTCGTCGAGCTACTGCAGGTGAGATGCTGGCGCTGGCTGGCACTTTGCTGACCCTGGGCCTCAGGGAGAGTGGGCTGCAGTTTCCGAGGATTACCACGCTGCTGTCCCGTGGCTATTGCTAGGTGAAGTGGACATCTGGGCCCGCAGTCTGCTCCCCAGACCCAGGATTGCGGGGAAGCCTTCTGAAAGGAAATACAGGCCTGGTGGGGAAGGGCAGGCTTCGGATGTCAGGCGTCACCCCCAGAAACAGTCGCTGCGAGACCCTGTCTCAGAACATCCAAATAAAAGCATCAACTTCATAGAACTGGAGACTAGAATGGCGGTGGCAGGGGCTGGGGGAGCAGGGAATGTGGGGCTGCTGTCCGTGGTGCCAGGTGTCCGTGGCTGAGACGTGGCAGTGGCCGAGCTGTGTGGCCTAGTGACTCTGCTGTGCCCTTGCAAGCCTAGGAGCAGAGGTCTTACGTGACAAGGTGTGGCCAGGATGTGCCCTGAATCTTGTGTGTTTTAAAGTGTATTGCAGGAAGATACATTGCCCCTCTTTTTGCTTTTATAATTTTTATCTGTCTGTGTTCACAGTACACGACGATCATACTCATCCTCGGGAGTCGTACACCTCTATGTAACATCCCAGTTTACGTTGCCGTTAGAGCCTCTGAGAACGCTCCCCCTCGTGTTACACGGACTTGTGATAGATGTCCTTGCCACTTTGGGGAGCAGGTCTGGAAGTCCTTTTTCACAGATGGCTTTATGAAGTGCGATCAAAAACATGGTGAAGGGAGGGGGAGTGGGGGATGTAGTTTAGGGCACACTGCCTGCCTGGCACGCTCAAGGGCCTGAGTTGGGTTTCTGGCTCAAAACAACAAAAACATGGTGAGTGGGGCTGGGTGTGGCGTGCGTGCGTGTGTACACACACACACACCCCCCCACAGTGAGTGCTGCTGTGTCCTCATCCACCTTAATCACCGCATCTGGCATCGTGCGGCTGCTGGCTTTTCCCGAAATCAGAATGACCATGAAAAGGAAACATTTTGAATCCATTCAGGACATCGCAGCAGCCACAACAGCACAACTGGTGACCCTCAGGAGAGAGGACTCCAGAGCTGCTGCAGAAAGTGGCAAGGCCCGTGGGATGAGTGTGTTTGAAGCAAGGGGAGGGTGACAAGGGGGATTCCTGGCAATGTGCTTTTTATTGTAGTAACACTTGGAATTTTAAACGTTCACTGTGTTTTTGATCACGTCTTTCAGGCGTTCGCACCACGTCTCTTTGAAGTCAGCAGACAGCACCGCCCCCGCCCATCCTTGTGTTGTACCGCTCGCCCCGGAAGCCCACACAGCAAGCTTCCGTGCAGTCTGCTGTAGTTGGGGCTCTGCAAGGAGAACAGTGCGATTCAGGACACGCATTTTATAAGATTATTTATAATAGTCCCCCGAAGTGTCATATGCAGAAGAGCATGCAGGACCTCTGTCCACACACTGAAGACCAAATAGTCCAGCTGAAGAACTAGGGCCCGTGACAATGCCTCCCACAATCCACCTGGAGGCCCAGAGGCCAGGACAGTGTCTCATGCAGGCCTGTTTCGCAGACCTGTGCTGGGAGGCCCAGAGATCATGGCGGAAGCTAGGAAGTCTGCGCCAGCGGACGGAGGCTCTGCGCCAGAGGGTGAGGGATCTGCACTGGGGCCAGGAAGCAAGGCTCAAGGTACGCACCAGAGCTCTGCGAAAAGTAGCACAGCTGTCCTCAGTGACAGTGAGGTCCCGGGCTCCTCCAGTGATGAGGCAGGCTGAGCTCCCATCAGGAAAGCCAACGGGCAAGCTTCTCCAGGAGACTGAGCTGTGCACCCTCTTCCCCTCCGGAGCCAGGAAGCGATGCTCAAGGTGAGGACCAGGACTCCCCAAAGGGAACCGCAGCTGTCCTCGGTGACACCAAGGTCCTGAGCTCCTTGGACAACAATGAGGAGAGCCATGTTCATCAGGAGAGCCAGCGGGGCCAGCTCCTCCAGGAGGACGGCAGCTTCCTCCAGCCTCTGGCGGCGACCACCAGCTGCGCTTGCTTCCTCTGCAGCTCTGCCTCTGCTGCTGCCCGCAACAGCCCTCAGGGGGGCGCTCCAAGCTGCCCGCCAGCTGCCACTGCACCACACAGCCCCTCCGGGTAAGGGCCCAGGAAGGATTTTGTTGGAGGGAGGACAGGCTACTTGACAGCTGTGCTTCTGCTGTGTTGTTGGGATTTTTAACGTAAGAAACATCATGATAAAAACATTTATGTCTCTATTTTAAAACATATTCTATGTCCTACTTGCATTTTCGTGCCGGGAACCCTCATGTGTGCCTTACAGCTCAGCTTCTGCACCACCTTCACCTGTGCCATGGGTGCCCTCAGTGGCGGCCTAACTTGGGCTCCCTCCCACTGCTCCCCTCACCACCCCTCGATGTTGGTCCTAACCTGTGCCTGTGTCCCTGAGCCCTGACTCTGCCCAGGCAGCAGGTGGCGAGGGTACCAGCGTGCTCCACAGGCCCTGCAGGCGGGCAGAGAGGGAGGGAGGGGCTCAGGGTCTGTGGGGGACACAGAGGCCGTGGGAGGTGGACAAGTGGGCATGGGCAGGGGCCTCTGGGACCACGTGGCTCTCTCACTGCCCAGGGGAGTGGGAGGAGACCACGCAGAGGCCCGCAGGCGGGAGGGAGGTGACAACTGGTGATAGACGTGGTTGAAAATGAGCCGAGGGAGGAGCTGCGTGGTGACGGGCTTGCTGCTGCAGAGTGATCCACGGGAGCCGATCTACGGGAACCCCAGCTTGTTGCGACGGCTCTGGGGGCACCTCGGCCGGCAGAGCAGGCCCTGCCCCCAGCGTTGGCGACAGCCAGGAGCCCGAGGTGGGCGGGACCTCGGAGGCAGCTGGCGATCACGGCTGACGTCAGCCCAGTGGACTCCTCCAGGGTGCAGGTGGCCTGCAGCTGCCCTGGACGTGGGTGGTGGGGCTGCACGGAAGGCAAGGGCCCTGAGGCTGGGCCGGTCTGCACCCCTTGGGACCAGCGGGCGCCTGCTTCCCGTGAAACTGGGAAGAAGACCTCACCGGAAGTGATGAGGACTAGACGGTGGATGGTTCTCTCTCTTACTGAGCATTTCCTCTGCCCTGCTCTGCCGATTCCTTACGTGCGTATCGCCTCACTGCATCTCACAGCAGATCTAGCAGCAGTTGCAGGGGCCGGGCAGATGGCTGGCTCAGTGGAATAAGCGCTTGCCTGGCAAGCGCAAGGGCCTGAGTTCAATCCCCAGTTCTACCAAAAAAAGAAAAAAAAAAAAAAAAAAAGGGAAAAAAGCAGTTGCTGATTTGTTCTCATTTTGCTGGGAGTCAAAAAGGTTAAGTAGCTTGCTCCAGGGCAGACAGCAACAGGTGAACCCAGCAGCTGGGCCCCAGAACCCACATTCTTGGCAGGAATGCCACCTGCCTTGGCACGCTGCACTCAGCTCAGCCAAGGGGGGTGGCACAGAGAGGCCACTGCTGCATGGGGGTTGACAAGAAGGGGAGAGGAGAGCCTGGGTCACCCCCTCAGCATCCATCCACACATTTTCACCACATGAACAAGCGACCCAGGGCACCCCTGGCTGAGGACTGACACCCACACTGCGTGTCCCGTGCAAGGAGCCTGTGCACCGTGGACATGTGGTCTGGGCAGAAGGTGGCCCCGAGAAGGTGCCCATCCTTGTGTTGGGGGAGAGCTGGGGCCTGGCAGGGGCTCCCTGTGGAGTTTCAGGAGCAGGGTGAGGAGGTGGGGTGCAGGGCTGAGCTGCGGGGTAGTGGGGACGGAGCAGAAGGCCGAGTGTCTGCAGAAGTGGCCGGCGCCATGGGCCTGGCTGCAGCAGATGTGGGCTCAACCCAGCTGTGCCCAGGGCTGAAGCAGGGCAGCCCCAGCTTGGCAGGGCACAGGCAGCTGCTGGCAGGTGTGGAACCTGCCCACCGTGGCAGGTGCCAGGGAGTTTCTCTGGGTGCTCCAGGCTGACCCTAGAGGGCAGGGCCTTTGGCCATCAGGCCCAGAGGCCTGGAGCTTCCCGGAGCCCAGGGGCTGTACGGGCAGGCAGGCAGCCCAGGGGGCACCTGGAGCACGGGGTTCAGGTCCAGCCAGATCCAGGTGACCTTCGCTAAGACGTTTTCCCTGCAGCCGCAGGGTTCTCTCTCCTCTGTGGGGCGAGCACCCCATGCTGACTAGTGGAGATGTCACTAGGGGCACAGGCAATGATGTGGGGGCGGGGCGTGCACGGGGGCGACTGCTCCATCAGCCTGAGGTGGTGTCGCTGTCCCCTAGTCCCTCCTGGGCCCTGCAAGCCTTGCACTCCACAGGGACCTGCAGAAAGCAAGTCTGGAGAAACTATAAACCTGTCCTGAGCAGCCAATCCGGCAGCCGCCAGCTGCAAGAGAGATTTTAAATTTAACTTCCTGGAAATGAAGCAAAACTTACAAATCATTTGCTCAGTGGCACTGGCTGCATTTCGGGTCCCCAGCCGCAGCCTGCCACTGGTGGCTGCCCAACAGGGCAGTGCAGGAGGGCCAGGGGCACTGCTCAGAGCTCCGCTGGGCAGCAGGCTTTTGAGGCTGTGTCTGCCCGGTGCCTACTGTGTGCCGGGCACTACGCTACCTGCCAGCTGTCTTTGCACTGAGACACTGAAGCCCACAGCAATCCCAGGAGGCAGCTTCGGTCATGATTCCTGTTTTGTTCTGAGCGAAAACGAGCTTGAAGGGGCGAGCAGCTTGCCTGAGGACACATGCAGCTCTTCACTATCCTGTCACCCTCAGCTTCCCTCCTGTTCCCACAGACCCCAAAACAAGGCTACCTCCCAGGCCCTGAACCTTCAGCACACACAAGACAGTAGCCAACACTCTTTATGGTCTGATGGGGGCTTCTGGGAGGCTGGGGCAGAGAATGAGCTCTGTTCTCCAAAGCTTGCCACGTCCTCTGCCCATCAGAACATTTTCTTGGGCAAGGGGTTGATGATTCCGCTCTCTATGTACTCGAAGACTGTGTACGGGTCCTGGTCCCCGTTGATCATGATGGCCTGCTTGTAGAACTGCTCCAGCTCTGCGGAGTTCCTGTAGAACAGGTCGGTCTTCAGCTTCACCTGCTCTTCAGAATCCTTCTGGTTTTGCAGGAGGCGGGCCTGGATCTCCAGGGTGGGAGGTGGCTTGTACATGAGGTGGTACCTACAGGGCAGGTGGAAGGGAACATAGACCTTGAGCAGAGGATAGAACAGGCAGTGTGTCCTAGGCTGCCGCATCCTTGACTGAACCCAGAGACTCCCTTCCCCTCTCCCTCTCCCTCCCCTCTCCCC